CGGACACAGAAGTCAGACGACCAGAGATGCGTCTGTGCCCGCAGGCTAAAAGACTCAAAAAAACCATATCGTAAAATTCCGAAAATAAGCCCCTCCAAATATAAGCCCTCCAAACTAGTAACGCAAAAAACCCTCCGTTAAATCGCCCCTCCAAATATAAGCCTCCCGGGGCCTTGTACTTGGAAATTGCCCTCAAATACAAAGTGAAACAAAACAAAAACGGTAAATTTCCTTCCAACTATAAGGCTAGCACAATCGATTTTGAAACGCAAATTTCCCTCCATAGATAAGCCCCTCCAAAAGGGTCTTTGAAAAATATAGGCCCCTGACCTTATTTTCGGAATTTTACTGTATCCTGTTCAGCGGCACATACGGAAGTGCCCCTCGGGGTTAGAGTACCCTAGGGAATGGGTTTCAAAGACCATATTTTCATGCATAGAATATAGCAAAAAAAATAAAGCTTTCTGTCTCGTAGTTACGATTAATGTTCTCTATGACACTAAAAAGACTACAAGGAAAAAATGGACTTTTAAAAATATGCGTTGGCAATTCACACAATTGCGCATTGCATGAGTCTATTCTTTAAGTAATCCAAGAGGTCAGGAAATTTTTATAGGTATATCATTTTGAATCGATCGCAAATTAATGATTCACTGTTACTCACCGTTATCCAATAAACTAGCGGGTTTAGCATTCCACGAAAGGAAATTCAAACTTACAACAAGCAGAAGATAAAACGGCGAAGCAAGAGGCCATATTTGGCATGACAACAGAAGAGCAGATTATCGCAGCACAGTATATTAAACGTCCGTGCGTCTAGTAACTTCTCAGATATCATGGGAAAAGGGCCTGGCGACAAGGCTGTTTGAAGAGATAGAGCTGCTAAGATGTCGTTGATTTTCAACATTAGGGAGCTTGAGCAACTACGACGACGACCACAACGACGACTTCAAAAAACAATAGGTTTAATGATCAAAACAACAGCTCCGTTGCACGTGCATCACGCTTTTTAGTACATTTCTTTGACGTCCACTGCACGACTACGACGTGAAACCTCCTAATTTGCCGTTTTATGGAAAACGTGAACACACGACGACGAATTTTCCTTCCTCTTTTTGAACCTGAATAAAATCCTTAAGAATGCAACTCCAGTAAAAGTCGCCTGCATTTGACATATTGAGCAGGTCCAACTAGACGCTGTTAAGTTTGAAAGAACTCAAATTCAATTTTTTACCGACGTTTTCACTGCCGTCGTCGTCGTCCTTGCTTAAGGTCCCTATTGTCTCAATTTGTTCCGAAAATTGTTACATCGACAGCTATTGAAACCTGGAGTAGTCAATCGATAAAAATCGGTAAATCTGATTTGATTGATATCGATTGTATCGATCAATCGGTAGAAATCGATGACACACTCGTTTCGTTTATCGATTTATTTTCAGTTGGTTTTTGCCGATTTCATCGATTTACATCGGAAGATATATCTGTTCATCTGTTCATCCAAAAATGAAAACTGATTTCATGCAAGCAGTAAATTTGTTGACAATTGAGTTGCAATTGATAGTGGAAGGATCAAACAATTATCACTTTTTAAAAAAATCTTTTTAAAAATTCTGAAAAATCTTGTCTTTCCTACAAAAACCAGGTTTAAAATTTTCTTCTGGTTTGTAGGCGCCCAGTTTTTCACCATTTAGACCTGCCACCCTTTCAAAATAACGTCGGTGTAGCAGTTCCGGGTGTAGTTACATCCTGGAGTAGCCAATAGACAAAAATCGAAATCAATAAAAATTGTTAGCCATCAAGTGATTTTTATCGATTGATAACGGAAACAGTGAAAATCTATTTAATGGCAAACTGAAAAAACTTGTTGTTGTTGTTGTTGTTGTTGTTGTTATATATTTTTTGGGGGAGATGGTGGGGGTTGGAGAGGGGATGACAACCATGCATTGTTTCTTAGTGTCAGTTTAATTTGCTTTTATCACCAATCTCCGTTTGATGTTCTGCTGTATCAAATATGCTTAGTTTGTTTTTACTACGTGAAGGTAAATAAAACACAAGTTATTTTATTTTTTTTATTTTATTAGCTTCGCCAACATAATATAAATACATCCAGGTAATCAAACGAAGTAACAAAAAAAAGTGGCAGGGATTCCGAAACAGCGTGAGCCAGTTACTGCGGGCTCAGAAAATTAAAAATTATAAGAATAGTTAAAATTAGTACATAATCACAAAATTAAAAGCAACACGAGACAGGCTGGGTAAGACTACGACACTTATTACATTTAAGACAGACAGACTTAATTTAAGTGCGGGGATTTTCACAGTCAATTAAAAATTAAAAAATGCTAGAAAACTGGTTGAATAATTTTTTGCATCAATAGCATTTTCTGCATGATTTATGAATTAAAAAAGCCACCAGTTCTTAAATCACATTCAATAAGCATTCTTTACAACAATTCATGTTTAATTTACAAGGTAATGTTAAAATACCGTGGTCATGTCATCGCAGCGAGGTTTTAAAAAGAAAGCCCCAATTTTCACAAGAAAGAAAAACCGTGAAGGATTCTGGTAGCAGTAGTAAAGCGGTGGGGGGGGGGATGGGACAGGGTTGATCATCCTCCCACCTTCCGTACCCTTTGTCTCCCGACTCCCGCCCTTTAGCGAGAGAGACGAGACACTTACACGACTGACACAGTCCACACACGTGTACATGTGTCATGCCGTCTCATTCATGACCTACGGTGTAAGCGACTTGGAAAGGTTTCCAATTTCACCGCAAGTAATGCCGTTTTTTCTTTATCCCGAGTACGAATTTTTGGTTTTTGACTTTTCTCGCATATAAAATTTTGCTTTAAGCCTCGGAGAACGTTAAATGGACGTTGTTTGGGTTCGTTTCTTTCAGTGGATGATAAGCAATAACAAATAACGAAAGCTTGTCTTTTTTAATGTCTTCCCCGCTTCCAGCCGTCGTAGAGATCCCCCTTCCCGCCCTTTCTTCTCCCGGGCTCCTTCGAGGCCGTCTTAAAGACAATGACCGAGCGCGTAGCGCGGACCGAGCGGGTAAATTTAATGCACCTTTTCATTGTTTTAGAACCAGCAGGAAATTATTGTGGCCACTAAAATAAATGGAACAGTAGGCTATTTTTCGTAGTAATGACCACCGGTTCCACCTAAATGACCTGCTTTTCCTTTTTCTGAAAATCATACCCCGCTCAAAACAACGGAAGGTGCATTAAAATGTCTTGAGGGGATCATCTACATACTCGGTGTCAAAACTATGAATCAGCTTACCAAATCCATTTTCTTGTGCCTATACGGCTGGCTAAACAGCATTTTTATACTTTTTACTGACTAGGTAAGTACACCAGTGATGTTTTTCTTTTGCGTAAAATAGCATAATAAAATAAATTGAAAACAATAACAACAATCATCTTATCTAATTCCAAAGCCATTGACCGCGATGGCAAAGTACTTGACAGGACCTTCAACAACAAAGGTGTGGCATTTGGGCGGTACACCTCTACCCAAACGTTCCTCGAGTGCCCCCCCCCCTCTCCCCACCCTGGGAGTTGACGTACCTCTCGTCAGTGACCTCCCAATCTGCGAAAACAATTGAGCGCTTGCTTACAGAAGGTGAATGCTTACGAGAATGGAACTATAGAGGGTCTTTTCGAAGACGAGGACCTGACACATCTACTTTTTGAAAGAGAATTCATTGGATTGCAATTGTAAAGTTACGGTACAGCTCCTTGTGGTCGCTAAAAGATCTTCGCAAAGTAGCTCTTACAGTAAGCATAGATATCGAGCTTAAGTGGGAAATCTATTTTAAAACCGTAACACCCAAAGTGGTCACGGTCGCTTTCGATCAATAGGTGGTTTTTTAACCGTAGTGATCTGACCAAAAGACATGCAGTAGTCCAGGTGAATAAAAACGGGCTATCCGTTCCTCTGAAATAGAAAAAACAACGTCACTTGGGGTAACCTCAGAGAGAGACCGAAGAGAAGTGGACATGTCAAAGGTCCATAACTCTGTGTCGTCATTTTTTTAAAGTACTACACCATCCCTTGTTGGAAAGATGGAAACAGAGCCGGGGAGTTCTATCGTGTTCAATTCCTCGCGGTTTGACATTCTCAAAGCAGTAACCAATGTCACCTTTCTACTTGTGTCTAAGGAATCTTTAACAAACTCTGAAGTAGTGGAATAAATGTTATCTTCTTTAAGAGAACAGGCAATCGCTTTGACCTCTCTACCGTTTCTCGAATCAACAAGCCCTTAAAATTTCGAAAAGACCCAAGTTCCTCTAAGGTGACCGAACAGATACAAATTTTATAGCGCCACTTAAAATGAATTTCTACAGCTCTAAAAGTACTTTGGATAGCCTAAAAAGTGTTTTCAGTGTATTAAAGAGGAAACTGTCGTTGGGTGCATTCTCCTGATATGTGCGCTATTGGCCCCGGTTCCTGGTGTATGTATACGTTTTGCTACCTTTTACAGCTTTTAGTCAAACAATAAAGATAAAGCAAGGCTCTGAAGTGCTTTCTGCTACTTTGAAAGTCCAAATTTTTACAAGGATCATTACTAAACTCTTCACATAATTCTTATGTTAATCGTACACTAACTTTAAGAACAAGCTTCTTACACCCCGCTGTTAGCTCGTTACCTTTATATTTAGTTTTGTGTTTGTAATTTGGTTCAGGGATAGAAATGACTCCCATTGTATTGGGTTTTTAAGAGCGAATAAAGGTACTTTTGTTTTAACTTTTGGGAAAATACCGCAGAGCTAATTCGAAACATCCGAACTCTACTACACGTATTGTTCACCGAAATCACTACATAAAATAGAAATAAAATAAAAGTACAGACGATCTGATTGATCACAGAAGAAAAACAAAGAGAGCTGTACATTCTGTAAATGATTCCCAAAACAAAACCGCCTCTAGTCTTACAAGTCCTTTGTCTCTTTTCATCTTACAGAACTGCTCAAAATGAACACCAAGAGAACTCAAGAATCCATATCTGAAATGAGTTTATGGCAAGCTTGTAAGTGATCAAAATTGATGTGACCCCATTCCTCTGAGGAATTGTCAACCAAACGCAACTGGGCATTTTTACCAGCGTAATCTGTTACATTCCAGCTTTCCTCTTTCATAGCTTCATCACACGCCTTTGTCGTCTTATTGCGAACCACTTCCCCACCAATAATAAGCTCAGCACGAATGTTTGGAAAACTCTTGTCGCAGCCTGATCCAATCAGGAAGGTAAGCAACTTTCCAGTAATCTGAAAACTGGGTGACGTCATTGAGCCTTGAGGACCATCACCTTGCTGTCCCCCAAACGGTTCAGAGGGACTGGACCGATTCTCGTAGGTACCAATCCACCAATCCCCTTTGTGGTTGCTCTCAAACTTATGCTTCCTTCCTGATAGGTTATCCCCGTATGTTGGCTGATTATTGAATGCTGTACCATTTAAAGTCCAATTTGACAAATCATGGTCTTCGAAGTCAAATATTGTGTAACACTCTAGTTTGAGAACAAAAGATATTTAAGATCAGAGAGTGAGATGGCTGTGACAGTGAGATAATCAATTTGTTCGTGTTAAAAGAGAAGCCATAGGAGACAATTTAATAGCGAAATTTTCATAAGCATAATTATTATTAAGATCGAGAAGAATTAAATCAGAAGAGCAGCCAAACCAGTTTTTACCTCGTCAGAAAAATATCAGACTGATCAACATTTCTGCTAGCGATGAGACACTATGTTGCCAGAGGCAGTTGTTAAAGAGTTTTCCTTAACTCCTCTAAAAAACAAACCAGTCCTTTCTCATATAATGTTTTGTTTAAAAGTTTACGATTTACGTGATTTACGATCATAACTGTCAAAGCAGCCAATGCCTCAGACTTTAGAAGATTCGTTGGTGTTCAGTGCAGTGGTTTTTTTTTTTACAAAAGCTAAAGAAAAAAAAATCTCCATCTAGCGCACCAGTTATTGTTAACACTTTATTGCATGGCCGTTTTTTTTTCTTTACCAGGAACTATTGGCAACCTCAAACCGGTAAACATCATCATACTTCAGGCTGTTTTTCTGATGGTGATCAGAAAATCAGTGATGTCTTTTACCCTCGCTTGCAACTGCTTTCAGTCTTGGGACGTTTGCACTAACAGTGGTATACCTGTGCAGATGTATCCGTCTGCATAGTAACCAATATTGCAGGTGCATCTGAAAGATCCTTCAGTGTTCGTGCAAGTTGCGTTCTTTCCACATCTCAGTTCTTCTTGACATTCGTTGATATCTAGAATAGTGTTGTAATAGTGTGAATCAACTACTTACATCTCACTTGCGTTTATATTCTTTATAAAGCGGAAGACAGTGAATAAGCCACCCTTTCTTTTAAGTCTTCTCTCCCTCTCTTTCCTATGCAAATAGATCAATGGTATACTAGCATAATATTTCTGCTACAAGCTCCCCTTTTCGTCTTCTTGGCCAGAGAAATAATACCTCGCTTATAACTGAGCTTTCCACTTCCATCAGCACGCTGGATTTAAAATCCACTCTTCTACCTTTTCTTCTGGATACCGGCTCTTTAATTAATTAATTTATTTATTATTATTATTATTATTATTATTATTATTATTATTATTATTATTATTATTGTTGTTGTTCCTTGTAGTCTGTTAGAAACTGGCCCATTCCTTGGTCCTGAGTTGCTAGAGGGATATTTTACTGGATGGACAGAAATCTTCTTAGTATACGTGCCGTTCCTAAGAGGATGATCTTTTGCAATTTATTGATGTTAGCTGGTTAGATCTTTTCTAAACTGTTTACAACAACTAAGGACCCAAATAAACACTGGGATACCTGTGCAGTTGTATCCATCTCCATAGAATCCAGTCTTGCAGTTGCATCTGTAAGATCCCTTTGTGTTTTTACAATCTGCGTTCTGGCTACACTCGTGACTGTTTTCATCACATTCGTTAATATCTAGGTGAAGATAGTTATTAGAAGACTCATTCAGTTACTTTGCAAAGAAAACGATGAATGGACAGTGGAACTGTCTCGTTTACACGACAGGTCGACAGTCCACCGAAAATTAACTCAACTTCAAATTATAACTCAGATCGAGAATTTTAGGCTAAACGAAGGTGAAAGTAAAGAGAAACGTGCCGCAAATCCTGAATCCACTCCAAAGTGAAAGGAAAACTCTTTCATCAACGCACAAGCTCCTGAAAACGCTGCTTCCGTCTGGAAGGCCCTGCGCTTGATGCGCTTGTGATGGTTTTGTCGACAATGGCAGGGCTAATATCACAGCAGATATACTTTCTTTCAAATTAATGTTCTCACTTGTGGTTTCCCCCTTTTAAGTGCGGTACAGCTTGCGTGGTTTCATAACTACTACGTCCATTAAGTCCACTTTTCAGACCTACCCATTTGGCAGTTTGCACCTGTCCAGCCTCGACACAAGCAGTGATATCCTTTCTTGGTAAATCCTGATTGACAAGTCCCGTTATTTTTGCATGGAGAACTACCACAAGGATTCTGGGGAAAACATTATGGAAAAGAGATATTGCTTTATGCTTCTGAGCCTTTCTAAACCTTTGCTAGAGGTGTCCGCCTTATCATGATTCAAGGAAAGTGAGTAAAGATTGTCAGTCCGAGCCCAACTCTAAGCGTCGGGTTTAGGGATTAGCCCGTCTTACATACATAAAGGGATGTTGTTTTAAGGTGTTTAATGGCGAAAGGAAGAGACCTAGTGTAGTTGTCAGATTTAGTTGGGGGGTTCAAAAGAAAGATGGTTTGCGTTTACTCCATTGGGATAAACCTGAATTTTCAATGACATCCAATATGACGGCCAACTCGGCTGCCATCATAAATGACGTACCCGGCCCTCAGCGCGTCAAATTCCATAATATTCACATGATCCCGTGCAGTTATCACAAACAGAAACTATCTCCTTAATTTTTGATCTTTGCAAAATATTGTAACACAGTCAAGCCCAAAGGGTGAGCTCCATATGGTATTAATAGGCTCGGAGACTGGATAACGTTAAAATTTAATGATCTTACGTTTGTTCCGCGGTAAAGGAAATTTGGTGCCTCCACAAAGTCTTCATCGTGTTCTCCGTGTGTAGAATTGTTCAATTCACAGCTGTATTTTCCATTTCCAACCATTTTGTTTTCAAAATTAAGGCTGACACAATTGTGCTCGTAGTAACACCTCAACTCACACTCATCCAGATCGCGAACTTTTAAAGTTTTTATGGTGTGGTTCATCAGGCGCTTGTCGGCAAAGAAAAGAAAACTTGGGAACGCCAATTCGCGACAAGGACCTTAAGAAAAAAAATAGCAGAACGATATTTCTAACACTTGTAATAGAGTTCATTTGGGTTTCCTATTCAAATTTAAATAAGGATTCCGTATTTTGTTCAGCGGTTAGCATTCTCTCTTCAACGGTCACTTAAGATCACTTTTGAAAATGTATTTTGAATAACATACAAAACGTCAAGTTTATAAAAAATGCGAAAACTCACAATGTTTATCACCTCTGTTTGTGTTTTAGTTTTGATCAAACTACGAAACTACGATGGCCCAAGAACAAAAGTCTCTAGTTAAGCTCCGCAGAATGTTAAAATTCTGACGCTGAAATGAAAAACTCCCACCTCAGCCTGTGTACAGACCCCCGCCCCCATCCCGTCAGGAAAAATCGGAGAAGGGGAGTCTGTGATTCACCGTTGCTAATCGTGTATGGAGGCCGCGTGATTTTTCCCGGAATGTGTGGAAAATAATTTGATTAGCTGTTACTCGTAGACAAGAGAGAATGATCTATCACTGCATCATGTAAATGAGGGATTTTGATTGGTTTTAGGGCCTGTCGTCAATACATAGCAGGCAATCTGAAAATCATCACATTGACAACTACACTCATTTTTCCTGGGGGGAGGGGGGTATGTACACAGGCTACTCCCACTTCTCCACTTCAAAAACTCACTAACCCCCCCCCCCCCCCCCCCATCCATCCCTCTCCACCTGTAACAGCCTATCGATGAAAATTCTGATTATTTTTGTTCATCATATTTTGCCTCTGTCAAGTACGAATCAAGCCTGTTCCTGATAACCTAAAGCTATATTATGTAAAATTAACATATAACTATGTGAAATCTATAATTAATGCGATAACATCAGCGTAAATAATTCAGAAACAGTCAGCGTAAATAATTCAAACACAGTCTAAATCTAAATGCCATGAATCTAGGTAAATATTGCACTGTTGGAGGTCAACTTCCCTTCATTAAAAAATTCACAGGACGTGACAGTCAAGACTAAATTAAACACTCTCCACCATGGAGTCGCATTTGACTTGTTTCAAAATAAGTCCAGCTGAGTCTCCAGTTGGTGGTGATACTCAAAGTAAAACACAAGACCTTGGAGATCTAGCTGTTAGCAGCTGCAGCTTCTAACCTTCTAAACGCAGCATTGGTTAATTAACTAAGCGTCTTAAGTCCCGTATAATACTTAATGTCAAGCGACTTTTAAGCACTCAGATATGTCACAATGTTTTTAAAAAAGCTTACGGTATAAAATTAATGGGAAAACAATTGACTTGGATTTCCTTAAGTTTCTGTCAAAGAGCTTGCATTTTAGTAACTTAGAGGGCTGAACTCACTACGAAAAAGAATATATCAAATCGAAAAAAACAAAAACATGGAACAGAGTGGAGAAATAATGGTTGTATTTAATTCGAAAACTGCAGCACGGGGGAATTTTATCAACTAAACCGCAATTCTGTTAAATGCGCAAAATATCCCTCCTCTGTTAAATTGCTGCAAAATTTGGCTAACTGTTAGCGTTTCAAGAGCATTAGAAAAAAAGGTTCTTAAACATACCTTCATTACAAGAATGACTTCTTACAAACGTGGCCATGCTTTTATACAAGATTATGACGCAAAAAAGCATGTAGTAGAATTTCATATTCCGTGTCAATTACTTCGGTCTACTTAACTTCAAAGGCTCTCACTCAGTGTATTTGTTATTTGAGTAAAAGTAATCTGTTCTGTCACTGTTAACAAGGAAGATGTGTAATGAAAACAGATGGCTGAGTACACTATCAATTATTCAGTAAATTTTATCATGCAGACAAGAAAACAAGATGTTATAGGTAGCCTACGATCATAGTTGTTTGTTGGTGTGGGGAAAATCTTTCAGTCAAAGTAAGTTTTAATTAAAGAAAACATTAATTTCCATAAGTGAAAAATCATCGCTGTTATGAACGCAACTTAGATGCGAAAAAGAAAGCTTGAAAAAAATTGAATACATACGCGTCTTCAACACCTAAATTAACAACGGTGCAGAATTTTCTTTAGCGCTGCTTTTTATGCAGAAATACGTATGTTATCAAATTAGCACATAGGATGGCTGTTTTTCCCTAGCGACCGAATACATGGTCTGAATACGGGTATAGACTTTCCCATTTTGGTCTGGAATCGGGTATAGTTTTCGAGGAAACTACGGGAGTGTAAGAACATACTTGTCTTTTCAATCCCAAATGAATTGAAGAACGACTGAATAGAAATATGTGAATTCGAAATGCGTTTGAAGAAATTTTTTTTCGCTCTAATCTAAGTAATGATGAGATAATTTCTGCCTAAAGGCAAGGTCTGAAAACCGGTATGGATTTTAGAGGCCTGGGGCCCGTTTCTCGAAAGTCCCGGTAACTTTACGGGCCCGAAATCAAATATTCAAATCGAAATATAAAGAATAAGAGCGCGGGTCCTGGCTAGAAAACAACTCCATTTTGTTTCATTAACTGGCAGTTTTATCATGTTAGATGCAAAACTGTTGAAACCTCGATCTTTAATGTAAACGGAGACAGCTTACCGGGCCCGTTAATTATCGGGACTTTCGAGAAACGGGCCCCTGGTCTGAAAACAGGAATGGAAAATGACATTTTTTGGTCTGAAATAGAGTCAGGCACACCCCCGCCTTTTGTCAACAATAGGTAATTTTTGCCGAGTTCCATAAACTTTCACTTTAGAAACGAGGCTACTGAGTGCAAAACCTTTCCTGTTGCACTTAGCCTCGCTTTGAAAAAGAGGCTCGGAACAACAATGAGTCTGTGGGCGAAATCCTATGGTGCTGCTATTCAAATGAAACCTGTTTAGTAGAACGTTTGCAGAGTACCATTTATTTCTTACGATTTTACAAAACGAAATTTAATTTTGGGGGGCTCTTTTTGGCCAGGCGGTTAGAAGTGAAACGGTTTATACGGCAAGTCTATCCCAAGGCCTAATGAGGAGTGAGCGTTAGGGGGTGCGCAGATAATAAGAGGGATCATTGAGTTTCGGTTTGAATAGAAAGGAGAAGTCGTTACGTCACGTTGCCATGGTAGCACAATTTTTGGATGACAACAAACCGATAAAGTCACTTAAAAGTCTATTCGCACTATTTCAAACTTCACCGATCTTATTCAATTTCATTCAATTTAATTTGGCAAATCTTGGCGAAATTTTCTTTGGGACCATATTTATCGTTATCTAAGTTTAGAAAAAGAAAGCGACAATTTTTTGTGTTGTGTTCACCTACTCCATAAAGCGGGCTCGTGAAATTAAGAAGTTTCATGTCGTAGTGGTGCAACGACGGCAAAGAAGTGTACAAAACAGCGTGATGCACGTGCAAAGTTGTTGTTTGTTAATATAAACATATTATTTTTTCGTTCTCCTTGCTGTGGCAGTCGTCGTTGGTTTTGTTGTCATGCAGAAATAGTGCTACCATGGTAACGTGACGTCACACTTCTCCACTCTATTACAAGTTAATTTACGTGAAGAAACATCTGCGTAGGCCAACACAATATACTGACATGACAGGGCTGCCTCCGGCACTGGATGCGTGATCATGAAGACACGTTTTTTGCTCTTCACGTTTTTGACCCTCTTGAAACCAATCATTTTATTACTAAGTTCTTCTTTGCAATTTTCGAAAAAATAGGGGAAAGGAAATCGTATTTAGACCAGGAACCCGTTTCCCGAAGTCCTGCCAAAGCTTTCAAACCCTGACTCGGTTTAGACAGAATCATGCATTTCGCTACCTTGTCGAGAGAACTTATTTTAGGGTCCCGGGCCCAGTTGTTCGAAAGCCGGTTAGCGCTAACCCGGGCTTAAATTTTAACCCGGGTTTCTTTTTCTTTATATCAAAAGCAGCCTCTCCGGATAATTTTCTCTATTCTTTTAGCATATCCAATCATCAAATTGTAGGCAAAGAGAATTCAACTGAATTGGCTTTTTAAAGCTCTCATATCTGAGTTCGAAATTTGCACTAACCCTGGGTTATCTTAACCCAGCTTCGAACAACCCGGCCCTGATTCGTTTCGTTTCCCATGCAGAATTACGTAATTTAGATTAAAATTGTTTAAACTGACACAATGGAATTAGATGATTTTGGAAAAAAATAATTTTTGGTAGGAATCCTGAAGACTCATAGCCTGCGGACACAGACGTCAGACGACCCTAAATACGTCTTAGTCCGCAGGCTAAAAGACTCAGAAAAACCACATCCTGTTCAGCGGCACATATGGAAGTGCCCATCGGGTCTAGAGTACCCTAGAGACCATATTTCTCATGCAATGCAGCAAAATAAGGGCCTGTTTACATGGAGGTGGGGGACCCCAGCAAGGTGAGGTTACCCGCTTAGGTGGGGTAAAAAATTAACCCTCCTTTACATGCAATCTTACAACCACGCCATCCCAGGGTGCACTTTCTCAAGCTTATTGAATGGTCGCTAAGCACGTAAACAAGAAACATGATCGTAAACCACATGTTTTGGCTGCTCTTGCTGCAACCTTCAGTGTGATGGCTTTCTATTGTTAACTTTAATAATGATGCAAAACCACCGCCAAAGTGAATTTTGCGCGAATTTGATGTATCACGAATCGGACCCCGGCTAGGCGGGTTACCCCTCCTTGAAACGTTTACATGGCAAAATTTGACCGGCTGAGAGGGTTACCCGGTCTGGCAGACCGGGCTACCTGCCTTTGCGGGTCACCCCATTTATCATGTAAACGTGATCACATTAGAATGAGAGATTATATGGAAAGGCGGTTACCCCTCCTAAGCGGGTTACCTCACCTACCTAGGGTGCCCCACCTTCATGTAAACAGGCCCTAAATCAGCTTTCTGTCTCATAGTTACGATTAATGTTTTCTATGACACTGAGAGACTACAACGAAAACATGGACTTTTAAAAATATGCGAAGGCAATTCACACAATTGCGCATTACATGAGTTTATTCTTTAAGTAATCCAATAGGTTGGGAAATTTTATAGGTATATCATTTTGAGTCGATAGCAAATTAATGATTCACTGTTACTCATTGTTATCCAATAAACTAACAGGTTTAACATTCGACGAAAGAAAATTCGTACTTACAACAAGCAGAAGATAAAACGGCGAAGAGGCCATGTTTTGCATGACAACAGAAGAGCAGATTATCGCAGCGCAGTATATTAAACGTCCGTGCGTCCAATAACTTCTCAAATGTCATGGGAAAAGGGCCTGGCGACGAGGCTGTTAGAAGAGATACATCTGCTAAGATGTCGTTGATTGTCGACATTAGGGAGCTCAAGCAACTAGGACGACGACGACAACGACGACTTCAAAAAACAATAGGTTTAATTAATGATCAAAACAACAGCTCTGCACGTACATCACGCTTTTTAATACATTTCTTTGACGTTAGCTGCACGACTACGACGTGAAACCTCCTAATTTGCCGTTTTATGGAAAACGTGAACATACGAAGACGAATTTTCCTTCCTCTTTTTGAACTTGAATAAAATCCTTAAGAATTCAACTCCATGAGAAGTTGCCTGCATTTGACATTTTGAGCGGGTCCAAATAGACGCGAGTAAGTTTGAAAGAACGCAAATTCATTTTTTTACCGTTAAAATCATGAAAAATCGATAATATCGATTTGACACAGCAATTTAGATTATCGATTTTCACCGATTTCCGTTATCAATCGATAAAAATCACTTGATTGCTACCGATTTATATCGATTGACTACTCCGGGTTGAAATGACAATGTTACTTCTCGCGCCCAAATTCCCCATTCGCATTCCCCTTTTAATTGTTGTTGTTGTTATTTTTTTTTTTTTTGGGGGTTGGGGGTGGTTTGAGGGGATGAAAACCATGCAATGTTTCATAGTGTCAGTTTAATTTGCTTTTGTCACCAATCTCCGATTGTTGTTATGCTGTGTCTTTATCAAATATGCTTTTGTTTTTACTACGTAAAGGTAAATAAAACACAAGTTATTTTATTTATTTTATTTTACTTTATTAGCTTCGCCAACATAATATAAATACATTCAGGTAATCAAACGAAGTAACAAAAAAAAGTGGCAGGGATTCCGAAACAGCGTGAGCCAGTTACTGCGGGCTCAGAAAATTAAAAAAATATAAGAATAGTTAAAAATTCATAATCAAAAAATTAAAAGCAACACGAGACAGGCTGAGCAAGACTATGACACTTATTACATTTAAGACAGACAGACTTTATTTAAGTGCGGGGATTTTCACAGTCAGTTAAAAATAAAAACTTAAAAAATGCTAGAAAACTGGTTGAATAATTTTTGCATCAATAGCATTTTCTGCATAATTTACGAATAAAAAAGCCACCAGTTCTTTTAAAAATTACACTCAATAAGCATTCTTTACAACAATTCATGTTTAATTTACAAGGTAATGTTAAAATACCGTATAGTAGTCATTTTCAAGTGACGATAGCGTCACGGGGTACTGAACACTACTAAAATCCATTTCGTTTTTCCATTCATATTTGAGTTTGATCATCCCAGCGAGGTTTAAAAAAGAAAGTCCTAATTTTGGAAGAAAGCAAAACCGTGAAGGATTCTGGCAGCAGTAGTAAACGAGGGGGGAGGGGACAGGGTGGTCACAACCTCCCGCCTTCCGTACCCTTATGTCCCATTATCTCCCGACTCCCGCCCTTTAGCGAGAGAGACGAGACACTTATATTACACGACAGCATGACAGAGTCGACACACTTGTACATTTGTTATGCCATCTCATTCATGACCTATGATGTAAGCGACTTGGAAAGGTTTCCAATTTGACCGGAAGTAATGCCGTCTTTTCTTATCCCGAGTACGAATTTTCGTTTTTTGACTTTTCTCTCACATAAAATTTTGCTTTAAGCCTCGAAGAACGTTAAATGGAAGTTGTTGGGTTCGTTTCTTTGACTGGATGATAAGCAGTAACAAAAAAACGAAAGCTTGCCGTTTTGAATTTCTCTCCCGCTTCCCGTCGTCGAAGAGATCCCCCTTCCCGCCCTTTCTTCTCCCCGGCTCCTGCCCCCCTCTCAGTAAAATAATGTCGTCCTATGTAAGGGAATTAAAGACATTCTTGAATTCTGGATTCCACTCCCTGGATTTCGGATTCCACATACTGGATTCCAGTTAGTGTGGAATTTGGATTCGGGATTCGTTAGTGGGATTCCGGATTCCTTAAGCTGCATTCCAGATCCCAAAGCCCAGAATTTCGGTTTCCACCGGCAAACTTTTTTCCGGGTTCCAAATTTCCCAGATTCCGGTACCGGGTTTCCGTACATGGAGCGAATGATGCAATTGGGCAAAGTGCCCATAATTTTCCTTTTTACAGTTATTCAGTTAAACTAATTTTATAAGGAAATGCGAAATCGACACCTTGCAGACAACAAGTAATGATGCAGAAGATGATAAATTTTGAAACCCCGGCCAAGATTAATATTTTCATCTCGCAAAATAGGAATCTAAGATAGCACCGCTACGGGCAGATCCATGATGAAAAAGCAACATGGAGTGTTGTATACTTTAACTGAAAGTTAAACTTTTACTGATCATGACGGTAATTACAGCCCCGTACATTACATAATTCCAAGGTCAGTGTTTCTTTTTTTCGACATTTTGTAATGCAATAACTACAAAAAATCGATGCTGAGAATTTTTGCCTAAGCTTCGAGGCCGTCTTAAAGATAATAGGCTGATTTAGTAACAGAACGGGGACGTCAGCTGACGACAGGAAAGCGCGCGGAAAGGACAAAGTGCGACTCCCGATGCCCCATTCATCGCACTGCCATTGGTCAAGCCAGTTGTTTGATTTGCGCGCGCCGTCGTCAACTGACGTTCCCGGTCTGTTGCTAAATCAGCCTAATGACCGAGCGCGTAGCGCGGGGCTTTTTAAGAAGACCGAGTGGGTAGATTTAATGCACCTTTCCTTTGTTTTAGAACCAGCAGGACATTATTGTGGTCACTAGAATGGAACGGTAGGCTATTTTTCGTGGTAATGACCACCTGTCCCACCTCCATGACCTGCTTTTCCTTTTTCTGAAAATCATGCCCCGCTCAAAACAAAGGAAGGTGCATTAAAATGTCTTGAGGGGATCGTCTACATACTCGGTGTCAAAACTGTGAATCAGCTTACTAAATTCATTTTCTTATGCCCATACGGCTGGCTAAAAGGTATTTTTATACTGTTTACTGACTAGGTATGTACACCAGTGATGTTTCTCTTTTTCGTAAAATAGCATAATAAAGTAAATTGAAAACAATAACAACAATCATCTTATCTAATTCCAAAATCATTGACCGCGATGGCAAAGTACTTGACAGGACCTTCAAACTTTCCTCGAGTGCCCCACCTCCCTCCCCTCTCCACCCCGGGAGTTGACGAACCTAGTCCCGCAAGTGACCTGGGTGGCGTTTTCAACGTGCGCTTCGGCACTTGGCAAGCTCGGCTGTTCCTGAGGAGAATCAAAGTGACTTGTGGTTTCAGCTCTGTATATCGATCGGCCCTTCATACGGAAGAGTGTTTTCTTTCCAACCAGCGACCCAAATAATGCAAAAAAAGCTTTGAAATAGATAGTTTCTGCTTCTAACAGCGTATACCGGCAGAATTGCACGGAAAAATGCTTTAAATATAAAAACTTTTTTTTCACTAGTTATCGGCAGGCAGGCAGGTGGCGCAGTGGTCTGAGAGTTGGCCTTAGGACAGATAGTTTAGGTTCGACTCTTGGCGAAGCTGTTTTGTTTTCTTTGTTGAACATTTCTTCTTCGTTTCGAAATTTTAATCATATTTTTCCCTTTAGCTTGTTTCCCTTTATTCTTATTGCTGCTCTTTGTAGCTTCGTCAGGTTCTTGCGATAAACGTGTTTCTAGGAACCAGTAAACAGGAGGAAATGACAAAAATAATTACACCAAAAATGTTGAAACCTCAACCTACATAACATATACAGTTGTGTCCATAGAACGGCTGGACACCCTTCTGGCTAAAACCTTGCTAAGAGCCTACAGTTGAGGAATAGTTATTGGATGAGGTTTTGTGTGACATCCCGAACAATCAAGGTCGAATTAAGTGTTATCAGCCTAGCCGAAGGTCGAGCTGATACGTCTTACCATGATTATTCCTGATATCTCAAAAAACAAATTTAATAATTGTTTTATTATACATTGTTTTAAAGAAATTAACGACAAACTCATGATTGCGTGGGACATATTTTGACATTGTTCTTGGAAATAATGCATTGCGCTCGCAACCGACAGATTAGTCACAAAGTAATCTGTTAGCAGATAACTAACTAACCTGTAGGTTGCACTGATTTCTAAACTTATTCTACATTATACTTACTGTCTTGTCACCGGCTAAGAGCGCAATGTTCTACTGATATTCTGATAATCTACTTCCACTTCATGTCTAGTTAAAGCTTGTGATAATTGTTGTCCAGATTTTGTCAATTTGATTACAGTTGGAATATATCACGGCTGAGAGTGCAAGGCAAATTCGGATCATTATTAGCCTGCGTAGCAGGCGCTAGGAAATAAATGGTCGCAAGAAAAAACGCGCGCGAGAGAAGGAGACTCGCGAGTCTCCCTCGCGTGCGCCTGTTCTTTCTTGTCCCCATTTACTTATTAGCGCCTGCTACGCAGGCTAGATCATTATACGTTTCTGGGAAACTGCCCACCTACCCCTCCCCTAAGTCATCATTAACACTTACTTTTCACTTAGGGCAAAATGTTGGCTCCGGGGAGGGGTGAGCCTGCGTAGCATGGTGTTTTTGGGTGGGCGTGCAAACAAGCCAAGGTGGGGTCAGTGAAACTGTCAGGAGAACTGGCGGCTCAGTAGTGCGCCCGACAAAACTGCCATGCTACGCAGATTGTGGGGGGTAGGTGAAAAATTTCCCAGAAACGTATAATGAACTGCAAATTCCGTTTGCAATATGCGAGATGACCGTTGAAGAGGTCTTTTAAGCATTTATATCAATTTCAAAGTAGTCGTTCACAGTGAGGGGAATTCGTGACCTCTTGTCTCCCCCACTGAATTTTTCAGTGTGATAGCATGCAAAGTTTCAACGTTCGGTTCATTATATACATGTGCCTTTCGACCGTGACACCACAATTCAGTCCCGCCACATATCAGCTTGCACTCTCGGCTGTTTAAATTGACTTTAATCCACCGTTATACTTACAGTTAAGCCGGGGACGTTAATTTGAAAATCTGGTAGCTCTTTTCGTCGATTGTCTCCTCTGCACTGACACTACAATTCAATTCAGATCAGGGAGTCATTAGTTTTAAGTAAAGACTGTATTGAGTTTCACTAGACATTTAGGAACCAGGCAGCTATAAAGCAGTGCCCAAAACAGACAGTCCGACACATTCACACGCGTGAACGATCTGAGAGAAAAAAAAAGCGTTCTAACACTCGAAAATGGTTTTACAAACATTACTTGAAGCAAGTTACTAATGAGACCTCTGGTATTGTGTTCTTAGCGCTATAGACCCCTCTTTAAGCCCAGCCCGTCGCTTCGACAACATTCGCCCTGCCCAAACATCAAGGTACAGAGTTTTAGAAGTATTAATTTAGGGCCAAAGATGATTGGTTGGTTAGCCTGCGTAATTCGTTAGCCTGCGACGCAGGCTATTGGTTGGTTTTTCGGGGTTCACTTTATCGTTAATTTATCTCAGTGCCCAAAAAACTGTTGAAAAGAACAGAGACTAACCTTTCTTTCTTCTTAGTTTCTTTTGGCAACTGTACATGAATGAATTTTGTTCTTGCGCCGGACAAACCAATGGCGACAAGAGGCTGGTACAAACAAGCTCCCAAACAGAAGGGTTTCTCTCCAATGTCTAGAACACTTAGCACAACTCCAGCCCTGAGATTATACAATCGAAGGAAGTTGTCCTCACTACAGCAAACCAGCGACTCATCATCTAAAAACTTGCAGTCAACAATTGCAATGTCAGTCTGGTCTCCAAGGAAGACGTGTAGTGTTTCTCCCGTATCTGCATTAAGTATATGCAGGCCTTGACCTTCGTCAAGAGTGTTCCACGTGACAACGAGCTCACTTTTAGGAGAAAAGAGCATTTGTGGCTTCATCGCGGCCCTTTTTCCAGTCCAGCACGTTCTTCTTTCCCACAGAATTAAACCATTTTTCCATGAACTGACTGTAACCGTCTCCGCTGCGGTACAAAGTAACACCTGACTTGGATTACTACACACAACTGAATGTAGACGTTCATTGAAATCTAAAAAGATCTCTAGCGATGAGACAATCGTGCTGCTAGCACTGGTGACGTCCAAAAATTCGATAACGAAGTGCTGCCATACGAGTTTCCCAGTCGGATCTGACAGAAAGACATGCGGTGCAGTTGAATATAAACGGGCTATCCGTTCCTCTGAAATAGAAAAAACAACGTCACCTGGGGTAACCTCAGAGAGATACCGAAGAGAAGTGAACATGTCAAAGGTCCTTAACTCTGCTCCGTCATCTTTTAAAAGTACTACACCATCCCTTGTTGGAAAGATGGAAACACAGCCGGGGAGTTCTATCGTGTTCAATTCCTCGCGGTTTGACATTGTCAAAGCAGTAACCGATGTTACCTTTCTACTTGAGTCTAAGGAATCTTTAAAAAACTCTGAAGTAGTGGAATAAATAGTATCTCCTTTAAGAGAACAGGCAATCTCTTTGACCTCTCCACCGTTTCGCGAATCAAACGCCACGTCAGTATTCAACATCGTGATGTATTTGGAAGCTGGGCTACCAACCAATGCTGACTTATCATCGAATCTGATGTAGGAGCCTGCATACAAAAAACTACTGGGGATTACTTTATCCGCTTCTCTAAGCCAGTAGCAGCTCTTGTCCTGCGTTATAAAATCCTTTAAGTCCAAAGTACCTGACGAATCGCACGGCCATAATCTGAATGTTTTAGGATGAAGATGATCAAAATAGGACTCATAATTAGAAGTTAAAATTGCGAACTCAGGTGGTCCATAAAAGAAAGCTTTATACGAGTCATGGTGTCCGCGGAAGGTAATACCAAGAAACCCGCAAACAAGAGTGTTCTTATCGGATGTGAAATGCATCAGTCCACATGCCACCGAACGACTATCAATAGTTCTCATCGGCGGACGACATGGGTTAACTGGATCAAGAAGATTAATTTCACCAGTCACGTAGGAAATAGCAACTACTGACCCATCTTCAGAAATGGTAAAAGAAAAAATTTTGTCTGCCCACGGACCAACAATGTCCAAAACGTTTTTACCATCTTCCGTATTCCACAGGGCTAACCTGTCCGGCTTATTTTGGCAGTCAGTTAGAATTTCCTTCTTCTCCTTGCAAAAGACGAAATTTGAGAACATACAGTCACTGTCAGGGAAAAGGTCTTCCCTGTCTCCAGTCAGTATGGAATAGCCATATCGGAGAGTCCCGGGGAGCACAAATTTCCCGTTTGGATGAAACGTTACAGAACGGTAGTAGGACAAAGAACGGCCTGCATTACGGTATGCGCTGTTGTCTGGATATCCAGAGTAGAACACTTTCTTCGTCAATGTTGGTCGAACCCATATCTCGTTGCCTGTCAGAAGAGACCACAGAGAGATAGTTCCATCTCGACATTCGCATACCAAGTAGTCCATTTCAGGTGAAACATCAAAACAAACGATTTTGTCTGAACAGTAAAATCGTGCCTTTTCAGTTCCCTTCTGTTCTTCTGTGTCTAAGTATTTCATGTAGGCTATTTTGGGCGTTGAGGATTCAAGGATATCTGCTGCTGAAGACGACAATTCAGGAATCCCTTCGTTAATCAAACATTGGAAAAATAGATGAGGGTGATCAACCAAGATATAAGAGTGTTTTTTTAGAAGGCTAACGAGAGGGGTCACAACGAAATCTCCTTTATCACTTAATAAACTGGATTTCTCAATGGGAAGAGTGTAAAGATCTTCTATGGCGCTTGTGCTCTTAACAAGAAGTTTCCCATAAATAAGCTCCAGGTCCGTCGCGTATTTGTAGATCTGTTCTGCTGTGACACTGTTGGTTCGGGATTTGTCTGCCCAGTCATGATCGTTCACCACCTGAAGCATGTGCTGGGTACCATGATGCAACGCATATGATTCAGTATTCGTGAACTGTCTGCCATGAACCCCTTTTCTCTGGATACTGTCGAGTTCAGAAGCACAAAGATCAGAAAGGACGTCATGACCTTTTTTCTCGTCCACCTCGAAATAATTCTGTTCATAAGGCAATGATGCTATTAACCAGTCCTTGATTGACTTGTGAAAGAAGTGAAGACGACCCTCCCGAACTGGTAACAGTGTAGAGATGGAAGATATTGCTTTAACTTTAACTTTTCGCTGCGCAGTCAAAGATTTTTCTCTAGGTTTTAGAATTCTGGCATGAATTCTACTGGTAATGGCTCCCTTGCAGCGCTCAATGCACACAGGAAACGCAAAACATGTTCCTCATCTGCATGAAGCTCTTTGCAAAGTTCATTCTCTAACCGTTTGAAATAGGACAAGTAAACGGATGAAATACCTGAAGGCAATACGCTTTCCAGCTGATCAAGGGTGAGAATTGAAACATTCTTTTGGATAAAATCCGCTATATAGTAAGCGTAAATAAACAGGCCTTCTGTTTTCTTAACCAGCTCTTTCAAGAGAATATCTTTATACTTTTCACCAATTTTGTTGCTGAGTTGATTTTCAAACAAGGTTTGAATGTCATTTAAGTTTTCCTCACGCTTTTGTTTAAGCTCGATTGGCTCTAAATGTCGCAATGCCTCTGTTATGCTCCTCTCTGGACGAGTTGTGATCAAAAATCTTATCCACATTGGAAGCATAGAAAAGTGGTTACTGATTACATGTAGAAGCTCATTGCGTCCTTGGTACTCGCTTTCATCGAGGCCATCTATGACTAGTAGGGTGTTTCTTCCAGGATCTTGTACTGTGCTCAGAGGCTCTTTGAACAGCAACGCAAACAGCTCTTCTACACCCATGTCGTTGAGGTCTTTTCCCAGATTTCTAGACAACTGTTCTACCAGAGTATCTTTGTAACTTGGCATCGCTTGACACAAGTGGCTGGCCAAAGACTGGAGCATTAAACGTGGATCTCGGTACCGTGAATTATTATGCTGACAGAAGTGACTCCCTGACAATCTTCCAACTTTTTGCATTCTTTGCGAAA